TGTAATGCAGCTTTTGTTTAGTCATGAAAAGACATTTCAGAATTGAAGTATGTATTTAACGGACAATAACAAAAATCTGTCAAGTATTTTTGCCCCCTGTTTTTGTGCAATATGTTCCCCTTTTTGTGTTTTCTGTTAATGATTTGTTTGAGGGATGTAGAAAAAAAGAAAATTATGGAAGTTTCTTATGTTTTTGAAGCATTTAAAACAGATTGTTTTTTAATTACTTTATTGGATGATTTTCGATAAGATTTATGTAAAGAAATTGGAAAACTGTTATTGGATTATTAGCAAGTCAATTCCAATTGGAGTCAATTGGACGTATTGGATTAGAGAAAAGTGATAAGAATGTAAATGCTACAAAGATTGAAAATAGTAGTAATTCGTTATTATGAATGATATATTGCTACAAATAACGGAAACAATTTAGCAAATATTGAGACATATTTTTATGATAATGTAAAAAATCCTATAGAACGACATTGATATGTACAAATATTTTACATATACACGATTTTTTAACTGAAAAAAAAAACGATATATACCTTCAGCCTATGGGATGAGGAGGTCTACGAAATTATACACAGGTTACATTATTCATTGTATCAAAGGTAAATTTCGGAACATCGTTGAATTTAAAAGCAAAGGCATTATGTGAAAGTTCAAAGAGATATTTAAAACATCAACTAAAAGATCGAACGTTCCATACGATTGTTATTGGATTAACAAATTTTCAAAATTGGTAAAAATACTACAATGTGTAATGTTTGAGCCAAATCGGACATTCCATTCGTTTAATATTAGATTTATAAAAATTTAAAATGGTCAACCCTTTGGGGGATGTACTTGAATGCGCGATTATTTATTTGCCAAAACATATTTGAACTGGATGAACTAATTGAACTGAATACCCCGACCTGGTTCTGATCGTATCTTTCTCTGAATAGTTCCAGAACGACCCAACTCTAAACTTAGTGTGGTTGGCATATTTTAGATAATTAAATTAATATCTTGATTCATTTTTTATTATTTTTAGTTCATTAAAATTTTAATTATTTTTAATATAATAAAGTAATAAAAATAAATTAGTATCAATGCTGAAATAATTTTACTTAAAAAGATTACATTTTTGTTATAATATTAATAAAATTAACCAATATCAAAACGTGAATAAAAAGTTACTTATTTATGAAACAAACAACATAAACATTAAAATTAGTGAATTCACGTTAAAAAAAACTATTTAATAATTCAGCACAACAAAAACTATGAGAAGCAGCTCGATGTTTGTTTTTTAATTCGCATAATGAAAAGAAACCTCGTTTTGGCAAAGTGTGGCCGTTTGCTCGCGTAAAATTGGGATTTGTCTAAGGAAAGTGTTATCAAATTGGAAAGACGAGAATGCGGAAAACTATTAATATAGATATTAAAATTATTTTGCACAAATGGTTCGAGCGGATTTTAAAGGTTTATTTCATATTATTTATTATTAATCCCACCACCCCCCCCCATTCTCGATTTCTAATTTTTTAGATTTTAAATGATCTGGTAAATGAATACCAATGCATGTTAAGGTTTGTAACTTTGCACACATATATATTTGAAGATTTAAAAAGGAAGAAAAATAATTTACAAAAAATTGTTTTTTTTTTTGTGATCAAAGAAATGTCCTTATTTTTGATTTGCACATATATATTTCTAAGATTTAAAAAGGAAGAACACAACACTTAACAAAATGGCGGAACTTAACAAAATGGCGGAACTTTGAATTTTTTTTCAACAATCGCCTATTTCTGACCACAAACCAATTTAAAAAATAAAGAAGATCTTCACCGATTGGCTTTACCCTAACGATAGCTATACACTCACAGAGAAACGTCCCAAAATTTGAAATCGATTGGGTTATTAGTTTTTGAGTTATCGTGTCCGCCATTCGCAAAAACGCTGTTTGGAGAAAAACGCTTTTAAAGTTTGAGAAACCCTCTTGCTGTCACTTGATGATAACACAATAAATGGGCTATATCGTCAAAAATTGTTGAGATTTTCACTTGATTTATAGGGACATTCTTGAATTAGTGTAGGTTCAAATTAAATCAAAATAAAAAATTAATTTTTTTGAAACCGAGAATGGGTGGGGTCCCCTTAATTGATCAAAACTTTGCAAATCGTAATATTTTTCCAACCCTACATTAAATCCTAAGATGGGGTAAATAGTGCAGGCTACTCTGGTAGCTCACCAAGGATGGTCAACTCGTTGACATATAAAGCGAATAATAAAAAGTATGTCTTATTCCGTAGACCTCCGCAAACCATTGGCTGAGGGTATGTATTTGTCGGCAACATCGACTGGCACTATTTTATTTGTTTATTTTTATTAAAGTGTGAGAACATTTTTGGCATTATAACCTTTGAATTATGACCACTAATTTCAAAGTATAAGAATTCCATATTTCTTCTACAGTGGCTATGTGAGGATGGAAAGATATATTAACGGCATTTTCCAAGGTAAATTTGAATTTCAAAACGTAACTTGGCTGCATAATAATTTAATTTGTGAAACGATTAGTCGGCAAAGGGCAATAAATATTTTACGAAAAACCGCACTGACATGAAATTGTTTGGTACAGTGCCTAACAAAAGTTTGTCGATACTTTTTATATGTAAGAGCATTCTTCGGATCTTCTTTCTTGGACACTTCCTGATCAATTGTTATTGATCCTAGTAACTAAGCCTTTACAAATTTCATATCAATTGAATAGCAAATGTATTGAAGTTATAATAAAAATGCAGTTCAATTTTTCGCCATTACTGTATAGAAAAGTAAAGATAAAAATCCTAGCCTTATGCCGACCATGAAAGGTGGGTAGGAGTTGTGTTAATGCGTGTGATATCAACTTTCTCCACAAGAATAGAAATCGCGTGCAAAAAATTATTTTTTTTTTGTTACCCTGCAAAACCCCACCCCCAACATGCAATGCCAATTGTTCACCTAAGCAAATATAAAAATTTTCGCTAATAAAGTTTTATACTTTTTATGTCCTACATGGATTTTCTCTTTCGGGCAATGCGAGTGACACGTGACTTTAGCAAATGAAAGCTAATGTCAAGCAGAAAATGCGAATATTTTGATATATCGTTATTCCATTAGAAGAACAACAAAAAATAGCACAGCAGAACAGAGCAAAGTTTGGAAAAGATTTGCAGATTTATTGTGGGTGGAGAAAAGCAAGGATACAAATCACCACATTTCAAGGCTTCATGAATTGTGATTGTATGCAGCCGCAGACATATTTCTTCATTTGCGTTGCCTTGTCTTGATTTGTGTTCATTTAATAAATCCATAAATATTTCAATACCCTTGTTTGTTAATAATGCGGATTGTGTGTGGTGAGTTGTTTCCTCCCTAGGTATGTTACGGAACACCGTTTTTTTAAAACTCTATTAAATGCTATGATAAGATATACTAAGAGATGTTGCCTGTTGACGGTGTGTATGTAAATTAGGCAGTATTTCTTGTTCAGCACAAGCTATCGATAAGCTAGATTGTCGCTATCGTTTAAGCTAGCATCGATGATGAACTTTTGTTTTGTGGTATTTTTCCATATCGCAAGTATTTGAAATCGACTTTATAATGCTTTTAAAAATGTGTTGATATGTTTTGAAAAATTGTTGACATTTTTTAAACATTACTTTTTCAATTTCAAAAACAAAGGAATAAATTTTACCTCAGCATGCTTAAACGGAGATCTTTACAATGTATCTAAGGCTAATTGAAATATTGTTTTATGACCCCAAGGTTTTTGCACAAAAATCAGTTTAGACAATTTTGAGTCTTTTTAAAAATGTTCTTCCGCCTATTTTGTGAAAGCGAATCAAATTGAAATCAAGTTCTCAGATAAGGAATATCGGTCGACTCCTTATGGAAGCTTTCAAACTAAGTGGTCAATGAGGATTTAATCCTTCTAGTACTTCCCGACCAACCCTACTTTGTGTCCCAGAATGCCCTTTTTCTAGTACCATGCCACAAAGAGAAAAAATTATAATAAATTGTAAACTTGGTAATATTTTTATATTTTATTTTAAAGGTAACTGCCTCTCTCATAGAAGTCCTGCTCTCTATTTGCAAAAAAACTCTAGTAGTCGATTTTCACAATCCTAGATACCAATGTTTTATATAATAATCGCTTGTTGCCGGACTGTATGGTGGATGCATTAAAACTTCCCAACAAAGCTCCTGAGTGACTGTAGTTGGTGTGGCCTAGCGTTGTTCTGGTGGAATACGACGCCACTTCTATTGGCCAATTCTGGTCGTTCCTGGTCAATTGCTATCTTCAAACGGTTCAGTTGTTGACAGAAGAGATCAGAATTTAACGTTTGGCCATATGGAAGCAACTAATAAAAAATAATCCCTTTCCAGTCCTACCAAATGCACAGCAGGACCTTCCTGGACGTTAGTCCTGGTTTGGCCACCGTTTGAGGTGCTTCACCGCTCTTTGGCCACGATTGTTTTCGTACAGATCTATCGTATGTGATCCATTTTTCCAGTCACCATCCGTTTAAGAAATGGGTCTATCTCATTCCGTTTCATTTTCATAATGGATTAAGTGAAATATGGTTCCATTAGTCCTATTCCTATTTCGACTCCGCAGATCAAATAAAAAATGAATACAAATGTTACGATAAATGCATGGTTAAGGTATTTATCTGTCGAAAGGACCGACTGATTTATTGGGGATCCGCACATCATGTTTAATATGTTTGCATCTGGGTTGAATTCTATAGACGAATGAAGACTCGGATGCTTATTGTCATGTTCTATGGTGAGCACAACGTTTGGACTCCTCGAATTATTCACAATTTTTTCACCCCCTATTTGCATTGATTTCTCTCCAAATAATAACATTTGTTATGAATTTGCTTGTTTAAGCCTTCCAAATGTGAGAAAATTTATTTTAATGACATTTTTTGATATAATTGAAAATATTTTAGACGATTGGTTTTTAACAGAAATGTAGACTATTGAATTGTTGACGATTATTTTTGACCATATCATTGAAATACCAAGCATTCGAAGAGTTAGCCGAAGAACCCACTGGACGTGTGGGAACTTCCAAGGCGTAACCAATACGAGGGCTGGATGATAGTTCATATTTGTTTGCCGCGATGGGCAAAGTGTTGCGTAGTGGGCTGACATCCATGACGGGGCAGGATTTACGAGATGAGCGAGTTTTATGCACCATGTTGACAAATTTAGATTGTTTGGTTTACGAGGGGTGTAAAGAAATCAGGGAACGCTTTGGATTAGAGTAAGCACGGAGAACTCTAGGAAGTTGCCGCAATTGGAGGTTCTGGAACCTTTTTTGGATGACAAATGTTTGGAAAGGCTACAAGTGAAAAGATAATGACGTTAGTATACATTTCCCTTGGATGTTGGGATAATTTTTCTTAACTCACCTTAAATTAGCGTTTAATTTGGCTTTGGTGTCGGCGCGGTTATTCATTGACACATAGGTTTTTTATCCAATAAATTTCAAGTGAAGATTGTCACAGAAATTTAAAATGGTTAGTTAGGTAACTTGTTAAAGTTTTGAAAAGTAACGAGAAATTCCGTTTTCTTAAACTTGGCTGTTGATGCTTTTGGTTTTAATATCCAAACTCAAATGATGACCTCTTTTGTTTTGATCGTCTTTTTATACTCGAAAAGCTCGACTGGTCATGCATTTAAAGCGTGCTTTTTCGGTTGATTTTTTTTTAGTTTTGTTTTGGAATTTACAAATAATATCAAAACATAAACTCGTTTAAATCTCGAGCGTATGGCCTCATTTGCATAATTGGCTTTATTCGAATTGAAAACATTTTGTTATTATTGTCGGGGACTACGAAATATTTAGTGATCAGCATCATCTGAGTTTTTTTTTGTTTTTCAAAAGTTTGTTTGTTTTTCTTTTTCTTTCTTGGAAATATCATCTATGAAAGTTATTGGTAATATGATGCGGTTATAATGAATTATAGAATATGTTTGTTTACATTTGTTTGTGAAAGAAAAGTTCAGTTAAGGGTCAGAACAATGACGTGTTTCGAAAGCTTTATGAGTAGTGGCATAGCACGCTTTATTCATGTGTTGTAAAACGTATACTTTATCAAAGTGCTATAGTATATCTACACACGTGCAAGGAATAATTACTTTATAAAAGTAGGCCCCATATCATAAAAAATAAACGCAAAGTAACTGATTATTTAAAATGATGTTGATTTCCTTAATTTTTATATCCGGGAATTTCATGAAAAAATGTTACAAAATACAAGTAGACAAGTAAAAAAGTGTCAAAATTGCCGACAGATATATATCCTCAGCCTATGGTTTGCGGAGTTCTTCGGAATTACACACAGATTTTTTTATTATTATAGATATATTTTTATTAAAGAAGTTTCGATTTTATTATTGATCAAATGGATTAATTCAATTTAAATTATTCGAATTAAATGTATAAGTTTAATAAAAAATATCGATCATTTGTGAGGGAGGTACCGAAAGGTCCCGTCTTGGGACTTGATCTAGACTTGGCAAAGATAATGGGGTTTGCAAAGTTTGGTTCAAACTATTGGTCTGATATTAATAATAAATATTGAAAATGTTGACTATTTGTGGGGGAGGTACCAGAAGGAGTGGACCAATAGGTCCCATCTTCGGACATGATCCAAGCTAAATAATGATAATAGATTGTTTGAATCAAATCCGACATTCCCTTCGACGGATAATGGGTCCATAAATATTGAAAATTTAGACCATTTGTGGGGGAGGTACCCGAAGGAGTGAACCAATGGGTCTCATAGTCGGACTTGATCTATACTTCGCAAAGATAATGGATTGTGTAAAATTTGGTTGAAATCGGACATTAGCCTAATGTTGGATTTTTAAATATTGAAAATTTTGATCATTTATGGGGAAGGTACCAGAAGGAGTACACCAATAGGCCCATCTTTGGACCTGATCTAGGCTAGGTAAAGATAACACGCTGTGCAAAATTTGGTTCGGTCTAATTTGGCCTTGGTGTCGACGTGGTTATTCATTGACACATAGGTTTTTTATCCAATAAAATTCAATGTGATGATTTGTGGGAGAGGTACAAGAGGCAGTGGACCAATGGGTTACATCTTTGATTTGATCTAGGCTTGGTAAAGATAATAGGTTGTAGAAATGCTTTGTTCAAATCGGTTAATCGTTCGCATAATATTATAAAATTAACTCTTAGAATAATTATGACCATTTTGTGGGGGAGGTACCAGAAGGACTTGATCGATAATCCTCATTTTCGAACATGAACTATTTTTGGAAGAAATATTACAATGTGCAAAGTTTGGAATGCAATCGGATACTCCATTTGAGATTTATCGTGCGCACCAGCCGGTCAGACAGACGGATCTGAACCAATGTTTCGATGAGGTACATTTTTGCATCAGAATGAGGGAATAACCAGGAAAATTGGGGCACATTCGGCAATGTCGTTTTCGGTATGAAGCTCTGATTGCACATCACTAGCGTTGATCCATAGGTATCGCATATAAAAATAAATAACTGTCGCAAAGTTTGAAATCCGTAGCTTGCATTTTTGCCAATGTGTTTGTAATATTTCCATTATTTATATTCCATTCCATTTCTTGTATGTTTTTGGTACTAGCTTTTATAATTAAGTATCAGAGGACAATTATCAGCCATAAAGTTTTTGTATCTGTTGAATAAGTACGTAGAAATATCGTTCATTTTTAAACATTTCTTTTTTATGAACAAATAGCTCATGCGTGTAAAATATTTGCCATATTCATTCTATAGGAGGTTTGCGTGATTACACAAAATATAGCAGCAAAAAGGTAGAGTAGACTTCGGTCATCATATGGGATCAACTATTTTCTGGTAATCACGGGTTATATGCATAGGGGAAAAAGAATATTTTAAGGACAAGTGGTCTATATACCACGTTGCAATCTAATAAGATCAGGACAAAGTTTGTATTTTTTTTTTTCAAATATTTTGTTCATTTAAAATTATAAACTAATAGTTAACATTATCTTAGTCTATTTTTAAGGTTTTTAAAACCAAGTTATAATGGATAAAGGAATTCCCTGTAGAATGCGGTTATGTCTTCATTATAGATTTGATACGTTAATGTTTACATCTTACAAACCACAAATTTCCCAATGTCTAAACCTTAAAATAAAATAAATCACTTTATTTATCTCTAATGACTTTTTTATTCATTAATAAGAAATATGATGATTATACTTTGGCATATTTCAATTACAAAATATCTTCAATGCCACTTTTAACAGAAATGCAAGCTATTGAATTGTTCGCGATTATTCTTGATCATATCATTGTAATACCAAAGATTAGATGACGATGTAGATCCAATTGGGCGGTTTGGTACCTCCAGAGTATAGCCTATACGAGGACTGGTGGATAAATCATGTTTATTAGTCGATGCAGACAATGAGTTGCGCAGGGGACTGACATCAATGACGGGGCAGGATTTGCGAGATGAACGATTTTTATGGACCATATTGACAATGTTCAGATTGTGTGGTTGGTGTATAGAATCAGGGTACGCTATGTATGCGAGTTAGCACGGAAAATTCTAGGATATTAGCGCAATTGGAGGTACGGGAACCTTTTTTCGATGACAAATGTTTGGAAAGGCTATAAGGAAATGGAAAATAATAAATTAACTTATGTACTCTCTTGATAATAATGTGTTCAACTCACCTTAAATTAGCGTTTAACTTAGCTTTAGTGTCGGCTCGGTAATTCATTGACACTATAGTTTTTATAACTTTATTTTAAAGTGAAAATTTTCATAGAAATTCCACTTAAATTTATTGTTTTGTTTGCGAAGGGCAAAATGTTTTAGCTTTGCTTGAATGCTGTTTGTTTTGATATTGAATTTGGAATGATAAACACTTCGAATTTAACCGGCTTTTTATATTCGTTAAATTGTCATGCATTGGCGACGTGTTGTTTGTCGTTGTGCGTTATATGACGCTGACGATCGACGATGGCTTATGTGATCGTTTACTCGTTTCTGTATCTAATCGGATTGCGCCTAAAATTCAAATGAATTCTAAATAAGTGATTCTTCAAGTTCTAGTTATAAATTGCAAATGCACTACAAAGTTTCAGAAAATCGTCAGATAGCAAATAAACACATTGTAAGTAAATTGTAAATATTCAATGAATAAGTTTGAATAATCTAACTTATATATTCGATATATTACGAAATAAATAAGGGAATTACATTAGATGATTATACAAAATATGGATTCACTTATATTGAAAATGAACAACCACTAACTAAAAATATTTACTTGTAGTGTACAACGCAATTTCACTCGTTTTGTTGTTACTTCCTCATGGTTGCTGCACAATTTTATTGTAACAATCTGACTAAATTTAAATGTCAAGGTATATACACTTTGACCAAAATTTGCTTGACATGAGCCAAAATATTTACATGGAATGAAGATCAATTACACAGAATTTAATAAAAAAAATAAACTTGACTTTTACTAACATAGCAGCTGATGATAAAAACGGAAGGTATTAGTCTCACATTCATCCAAATGGGATGTAACTTGGTATTATGGGTTCGCATTGCGTAGGGCATATTCTCACCAAAAATTATTAATTTGGGCCCACTATTTGAGGTAGCCCCCATATAACGGTATCCCCTAATGTTGTTTTTTTGGAGATATTGCTCGTGTTTTCAATAAAATTGGCTGTAATTTAGTATTTTGAATTCACTTTGGGTTTGCAAGATGTAATAGTTTTTGGTACATAGCAAAAACTATTACATCTTTTGGTAGTTTCGGCATTTTGAGTACCCATTTCAATCAAATTGACTATAATTACAATTTATTTAAGGTATACTATGTATATAAGACCATAATACATAAAAAATACGATTGTAATTTTTCATGATTTCAGCTCTATTGGTTCGCCTAAAATTCAAATTGTACCAAATTTAGTACCATTTAGTAACCATAAATATAAATTGCTTAAACTGAATCCTGACCACAATCCTACACCCCTACAGTGATCCTGACTCCAAATTTCATTTTCGCCAGCTCGATTTGCACCTCGAAAATAAATTTGCACCAAATATAGTACCATATAGTACTTTTCGTTCACATAAGCACACGCTTTCAAAACCATCTCCTTAAATGGAAACTACATCTCAAACTTAATTTATACTGCAAATTTCATGTTTTTGCGCTATCCGCTCACATGCTACGAAATTTAATAAATTTTCGTACTTTTCGGATAGTTATAGCTCGAAATTCCAAAAACCATTTGGTACATCTATACTACACCCCATCAACGACTACCAACCCAAATTTCAAAGTTCTAGCTCCACCGGTTCGTCAAATACAAATGGTATCACAATTAGTATTTTTCGTACCGTTTTAGTACGAATTTCCAAAAACCCAGCATTATCTGTCACATTTGGACCAAGAGTAACCCTCACCCAAAATTTCAAGATTCTAGCTTCAGTCATTTCTAGCTTCAGCGTTGATGAATCGTTAAATCAGCCAGTCAGTCAGTCAATCACAACTCTAAATCGGTACTCTGAAATCGGTACTCCCTATTTCATCAAACTTTGCACATCGTAATATTTCTTCCAAAGTTCGAAGATGAGGAATATTGATCCACCCCTTCTGATATCTCTGCCACAAAATGGTCAAAATTATGCAAACAATTGATTTTATAATATCATGCGAACGGACTATCCGATTCAAACCAAACTTTGCCCGAAGATGGGACCCATTGGTATACTCTTTCTGATACCTCCCCAACAAAGGGTCAACATTTTCAGTTTTTATAAATCCAATATCCTTTACCAAGCCTAGATCAAGGCCTAAGGTGGGATTCGTCGATTTATACTTCAGGTCCCCCCAAAGAGTAAATATTTGATAAACTTGATTTGATTTAATTTGGAGCTAATTGCATAACAGATTTGGTCAGCTTTACATCTAAAACCTTTTGTTAAAAATATATACATTATACAAAGCGAATAATGAAATCTGTGTGTAATTCCGAAGAACTCCGCAAATCATAGGCTGAGGGTTTATATCTGTCGGCGACACCGATTGACACTTTTTTACTTGTTTCTATCACTTTAAAAACATATTGCAGATACTTCGAGTGTAACATGGAGTATGGTTATGAAAATATACTTCATTATATGATTATAAATAAATAAAATTAATTATTTATATAAAACACGTGTCAAAAGACATCATAGACATGAACATATCGATGTAGACCTATAGCCCTTGGGCTATGGCAAAACATTGATAATTGATATTACCTTCAATAGAACGAATTGCGCAATAGGGGAAATTGTTGTATGGGAACTAAGTAACCCGGTTTTTAATACCATGAAGAATATATGTACTTAGACTTTTCAACTTGCGTTAAGGAATAACAAGGAGAAATGTATTGATTCAGCAACAATTATTACAATATTTTCCGATGATTTGTTTAATGGATTGTCTTGACTTTCTTAATATTTTTTCTTGCAGAAATACAAATATTTTTCCAAACTGTTTGATTCAGTTTACATTTTGAAGGTATTATTACTTCTAATAAGAATTTGAATAAATCACATTATTCTTAGATATCAAAATCTGTCCCATTTCAATTCATAAGTAAACACTCATGTGCTAAATAGAATTAAATAAAACAAATCAATATTTCGTTTAAAAATTCTAATGATTATTCATGGATTCAATATGAAATGAATTAGTTACACTTTGGTATATTTCAATTATAATTAAATTTCATGGTAACTTCAACAGAAATGTAAGCTGTTGAATTGTTCACGATTATTCTTGATCATATCATTGTAATACCAAAGATTTGATGACGATGTAGATCCAATTGGGCGGTTAGGTACATCCAGAGTATAGCCTATACGAGGACTTGTGGATAAGTCATGTTTATTAGCCGATGCAGACAATGAGTTGCGTAGGGGACTGACATCAATGACGGGGCAGGATTTGCGAGATGAACGATTCTTATGGACCATATTGACAATGTTCAGATGGCTTGGTTACTGGAGAGAAAATATATTCAGGGCACACTGTGTATACGGGTTAGCACGGAAAATTCTAGGATGTTACCGCAATTGGAGGTACGGGAACCTTTTTTCGATGACAAATGTTTGGAAAGGCTGCAATAGAAATATAAAAATGCCAGATTAGTGCTTAGTTACGGGCAGACTTTAATTGTATGTAACTCACCTTAAATTAGCGTTTAATTTAGCTTTTGTGTCTGCTCGGTAATTCATTGACACAATAGATTTTCAATTATTTAAAAGTGAAAATTTTCATAGAAATTTCACTTGGAAGAATTTGGTTGGAGAGAATGATTTTTGTTTTGATAGTCAAATTGAAATGATGATCGCTCTCTATTTAACCGGATTATATATTCAGTAGATTGGCATGCATTAACAATACTTTGTTTTGTTTGCGTAATTTGCCGCTTGTTTGTCTGATTGTTTAAGCATGGCTATAGCTGAGATGTAGCATTTTAAAATTTATTAATTCTAAGAAAACAACGCGTCTGGTTTCAGTGTTCAGCTCGCAGGTGGGAAATACTATATATTAAAATTTTTGTAGGATTTGAATATATATTTCATTTTTCGGTTGTATAAAATACTATATTATATGACAGGTAAATGTAATAGGCTGCGGAAAATTACTGCTAAATATATATAAATAATTTGTTTTGTTTTGATTGAATTTTATGGTAGTAAGTTGCACCCGAATTTGGGTCACTAATTTTACTGATAGTATTTTTTTCTTTTTTTTGAGTTGCTATTTCCACAACTCAGATCGAAGACCAAAACTATGATGGATTTTCAATACTCTCTGTCATATGGGTATTAATACTATTAATAATATACCTCATCAACATATCGGTTCTTGATCCCACCTTAACTTAAATCATGTTTAACCCTTTCAGTGTCAAAAAAATTTTTTGTCGGAATAAAAATCTAAAATTTTGTACTTAAAATCATATAAAGGCATAGAGTTTAGAAAAAAGCAATTTTCATTTTAACCCTCAGACAGTTTCGTCTGTTTTTCAGCAAAAACAAAATCATCAATGTTAACGGTACATAGGATAAGCGAAAAATCGCAAAGAAAGAGAGAATTTTTAAATGACGAATATATTCGACAAAAACACTGAAAGGGTTAAAGGATGGTATTTTTATCCTTTTGGTACTTTCGCCGCAAAAAGTTAAACATGTTCCTGAAAAATAATTTTATATCATTCCAATGGGGTATTAGATTTGATTCAAACGTTGTATAAACTTATACGGTTTCCTAACCTGAAGATCGGGACATTTCGGTCCACTCATATGTTTACCAAACATATTGGGTCACTTCTTCTGGTACATTCCCCCAAAAATAGACAACTTTTTACACCCTCAGCCTTATGGTATATACAATTTTATACGGTGAAAATGTGCCTTTTCGAAATATTGGTTTTAGAACCCATGTTTCTTTGGACCAAATCCGATTCAGAAAATTTGAAGTCGATTTATCCGTTCCTCTGTCTGGCCGGCTGGTCCGCACGAAGGGAATAACCGATTTCATCTAAACTTTGCACATCTTAATATTTTTTCCAAAATTAGTTCAAGGTCGAGGATGGGAAATATCGGTCCACTTCCTCTGGTACCTCCCCCACAAAATGGTCAAAATTGTGCAAAAAATTAATTTTATATCATGTAGGAAGATGGGACCCCTTTCCTTCTGGTACCTCCCTCACAGGCGGATGGAATGTCTGATTTGAACCAAACTTTGCACAACCTATTATTATATTATTATCCACTACTTGTGGTATATATATATGATATGAATTGCAAAATCTATATGGCCCAAACTTGTCATATTTTGAGGGTTGCAGATAGATTCATCTCCTGTTATACCTTCAAAAATTGAACAATATATAAAAAAATGATAATTGTAATAAAACGTGAAATTAGTCTCCTTATTAACTACAAAACAAAAAGACACTTGGTCAATACGATTTTATTTTTTTAAGGACATCCATATCTACTTTCAAGTTAGGCACAAGAGTAATATGTTTGTATGTATAAGTGTTGTTTGTTTGTATAATGAATATAAATCTGCTTTAGACTGTTTTGTTATATTATTACGGTTGCTGTTTGTATTTTTTTGATTTTTGTATGCAAATGTGGATGACTGTTTCCAAGAGCTTTGTTTTGGTTGTTCCCCTTTTATCCAATTTCTCTGTTGTTTTTATAGCTGTTTATAACTGACGCATTTTATCTTAATCATCCCCTCCACCCTTGCCATCAACGTATTTTGAATTTGTTTTAACACAAATAGTAGGACCATAAAACAAAGATTTTGATGATTGGTTTCCACCGTCATCAATTGGCCAATCGGACGTCATAGCTGGGCTTATGACGTTATTCTCAAATTCATGAAAGTGCTTTCCAAACAAAAACACACATTCTCACTGCTAAGAATGAACGTCATGATACAATAAATATATGTATACTGTGCATAATGGAGGCAAATATAAAATAAATCTTTAACTATGATACATAGTAGTGAAACAGTTTATTTCAGTGCATTATTAACTAAAAACACATCTTAAAAATTGTAATTTTATTAGAATTATTAAAGGGAAATCCCAATTCTAAAGTTTCCTATTATAAAAAAAATTAATCATAACGACAGGTTATGGTAGTTTCCATTAATGCAAATTTCTGTTCCAAACAACGATATATCTTACACCTGCCCTTATAAATATTTAACAAAAAGTGAATGAATCCATTAAACACAATATATTGGCTACTAAATTAAGCGACTAAAGCAGAAATCTCCAACAAGTTTTTAATTCATCTGTTTTATGTGATCGCCCCCAAATAACATTTGCAAAGAACACACAAAAACGTTACTCGCATCACGTCTCATAACGACCAGACAGACAAATAAACAGCCTGAGGATGAATTCAATGAAATATTTTTGTATTCCAAATCTAAATTAGCCCATGTTTTTTATGATCGGTTTTTGGGTTCGAAAACAATTCTAACGCATAATTTAATTGTACAAAACAAAGAGACTAGAAGTATGTAGAATAAAACAAAATAAGATTTTAATTGAAGCTATTGAATTATTTATTATTGCCAAAAAATTATTTTAAGTCTGGTCAAAGATAATTTGGTCCAAAAACAGTATTTCAAGGTTAAAAATGCAATTGTTATGATTTTAAGAATTTCGGGGTGTTTAAAGTTTAATATTTCTATTCAGAATTTTATTGTAAAAAACATTAGAAATGATAAATTTCTTTCGTTTTTGACTATCTTAAATTATTTTGAGGCACTTAAGTTTGGGAATTGATGTTTTGGAGGATTTTAATTTATTTTTATAAAGTCAACATATCACATTCTTATATCGATAATATTTGTCTAATATTGACCTAGGTTCAATATTAGACAAATATTCATAGTTATTTTTATTGATATACGTCTCAGAAAATATAAAAATAAACCGGTTGAATCACAAAAAGTTCGTTTTATTTTATTGCTCTTATATAAAAAATCCGGTTTTAATAAAACTAACTTGTAATCATTTTTTATAAAATAAAATCCTAATTACACTAGATAACAATACAATTATCAGGGTGTTGTACGGATCTTTATACACATTTGGTTTAGTACATTAATAATGGTTCTATATTTAACGATCACCCGCTAAACTCTAAAATATAGAGAAATGCATATTTAACCCCTTGAGCCCCGAATTTTTTTCCTCAATCTTAGAACAAATTTCTGTTCATGGATTTAATGCAACTATCCTAAATAGGATATTGACAAAATTCGACATCGCTACATCATTGCATTCGGGAAATACAGTACATTCTTTCAGAAAAATTAAAGTCCAATATCAAGAAACCCAAATGCAAAATCGACAGGAAAATCATTTTAAATTATTCTCTATATTCTGTTTTACAAGAATCAACAATAGCTCTGACCGCAGAGTTTGTACATTTCGAATACGAAGCGATTTAAATAATTTGGACTGTATACACAAATTAGTACTGTACACATGTTGCCCTCTTCTCTATATTAAAAAGCTCATAACTTTACCAAAAATTTGAATTTTTTAGATTTTGTAATATGTGTCGTCCATAATCAGATCTTGACAAAGAATTTATATCTACTAGCTGTATAATATATATAAGCTGTAAGACATTTTGTTGCCTGTGGGCAACATTGGGCCATAAAGGGTTAAATTAATTTTTTAGTTTTCAAGCGAACCTGATGGGTTTTCAAGCGATCAATATGGTCTAAGCTGGTGAAGTATTACTTGTTATGAGGTGTGAACCCAGGATCAGTGATACAGATGAAAACTGTTTTTTGTTTTTTTTAACGTTCTTGCCAAATGGATTTGTTAAGGAACAAGAGTTGGCTGTTGCCCCTTTACAAAAACTTCCCCTCTGCACTATGGACCAGACATCCCATTTTGGCTCTAATAAGAGCAGTATGTTTATAACATAAATATCAAATATAAGGTTTTCGAGGACGCTGATTACGATTGAGCAAAAAAAAAGTAAAAATTCAATGGAGAGGATCGAAAATGATTTCATTGATTCATTTTTGAAAAATATTTTGAAGAGCTATGGCCTATTTACAATAATCATTCAGCAAATTTTATAAATTCTAAGATTTTGACAGAGTAGTTAAATCCCAGTGTATTTAGCAATAGTATATAATTACAATTTTAAATAAATATTGTGTAAGAAATTGGAGATCTAAAACATGCCTTCTTTTCAGTCTTCTGATTACGTCTGAGTCATCGAATAAGCTGATTGCAAGGATGTTTGAGCAATGGCTTAATCTGTCTAAATATAGAGAACTATACTTTTTGATTTCTTCTTTAATTTGATGATTTTTTAAATCTCTGTGAACGATGTTATTATGAACAAACCAAGGAGCATCCGTAACCAATCTAAGCGAAATACCGATTTACAGCCAATTTGGATTAAGAAGAGACCACTATCTTTCAATTAAATTATCAGTATGCTATGGCAGTAAAAGTTAATTTTGTTTTATTTTTTATAACGACTTTCTTATATTATAGGCAATAACTCTTAAGCTTATGAACGGTCGCAAATTTCTGGACAGAGAACATATTAAGGTGCATTATATTATTGAGATTTATATACGAATTTTTTGATGATAATCTTCAAATGACAAATTATTTTCACTTTCATTATAATCACCAGCTAACTCCACGTGTTAAATTAACTGCCATTTCATAAACTTTTTTCAAATAGGAATTATATTGACTAAACTTTGAAATTTTGACTTTGAGCTTATGTCATTTGTAAACCGTGACCCAAAATGTTATAAAATTTTACTGGTTTAAAGTTCAAAGTCTGCAGATTTGAAATATATAACGTTTTTCTGTTCTATCTGAAATTGACTAGGATTCGTACCCCGTACCCATCGGTTTGCAGTCTGGCAACTAGGGATAAGTAAATCGACTTTCGACTAATCGATTTTTGTATTGAAAAGTCTAAAAGTCGAAGTCGACTTTTGACCTTTGAAAAAATCGCAAAGTCGACTTTTCAAGATCGACTTTCGATTTGCTTCATAAATTCTTGGTTAATTACCACAAAGCGGAAATTGTCCAAAAATGAAACACTCCAGAGCAACTCCAGACAACAATTCTTATAAAAAATTAAATTTTTAGTCGATTTTATTAAGTTGGTAAAAGTCGAAAATCGATTTTGAACAGGTTTGACAAAATCGAAAAGTCGACTTTTTAGTCAAAGGCAAAAATCGAAAAGTCAAAAAATCGACTTTTTGGTCAGAGGCAAAAGTCGAAAAGTCTTTTGCGCTCGACTACGTATCCCTACTGGCAACATCAACTTTGATATATGATAAAGCTTCAAAATATCCCGAATCATGGCGGGGATATGTCAAATCATGGACCAATAATTATAATTTTCGGCATAGATATGTGCGAGCTTTCAATAATGTCGTAGGCCAAATTACATCCATTTCGGTTGGAAGTATATTTCTTTCAAAATACCAAATAATGGCCGGTATCATTTGTAATACGAAACGTTCTAGGACTAGGGCAATGCTAGTGCAAAATTCTAAAATGTTTTTTAAATATTGCGATTTCTACATACATACGGACATCGCTAAATTGATATAGAATTTTATTCTAATCAAGAGAATATATGTACGTTACGTTACATGAAACGTTATTTTGATTAAAATACAAGAACAGTCTGACCAATTTAATATAATAAAACTGTAGTAGAATCTCATACAAAAAGCCAACAATAAAATAATTTATTTTATATACGAAATATTAAAATAAATTAAATCTTGCAAAATTAGGCCGTGGCAACCATTCAATATTTGACCTCTTTAACAGGGAAAAAATGTTGTAAGTTAGTTTGTTATTAAAAGAGTCGTTAGTAATGGAGAAAGTTTTGAATATTGTAAACTAAAACTACAATTCCATTACTATCCATCAATTTCCACAACAAACTAGAAAATCATGCAATTGTCGTCTAATTGAATATACAAAATAAAATGATTTTCATTAACATGAAAAGAACAGCATTATATGCATATACAAACACAACAACAACAAATGCACTAAAAAAAACGATTTACTTAAAATTTAAATATATTTATATTTTCCAATTGGCCAATGTGACGATATAAAAAAAACAAGCAACTTTTATAGTGAATTGAAGTAATGATATGCGTCTTTTATCTGGTCTGGCCGGCGTGATGAAAAGTACGAGTTTCATTGCATCAGCCAATTCTTCCTCTCTCGTTATACTACCTTTGTTGTTGTTGTTTTACAAAGAAAATATTTAAAACAGAAATATCAGGTTATTCGACAGTTGACAGCAGCTTCAAGTTGAACACAGTAGCCGGGAGAGGGGTGGGTGGTCGACCAAATATTTACTACTCAGTTTGAAAAAAAAGTGTAACAAATGTTGGAATCTTTTAAAGAGTTACATGGGACTTTAAAAAGGTTCTCAATAATACCGAATTAGAAACTCCCATTGAGCCATATAGGAAACATATATTCGTATCTCACATTGACATATGTCACTCCTCTGTAATGTCATATATATACAGATCTTTTAAGACTTTAAATGGACTGGCATATTTTATATGGGTGCAAGCTATAGACATCAAACAATACTCCCCATATTTTTTCTTCCTAATTTATGTAATGCCCCAATGCTAGATCGAAATACTCCGATGCGAAGTATAGATTTTAATCTTATTCACACACTCAAAAATAGTTGTAGCATAGTGTTATCAAAATTCGTTATCGTTGTTGAAGACAATACTAAAATTATAGTACCTTGGCAACAAAATAGTTTATCTTCCAAATTTGAAACTTGTTCCTTAACTATTTGAAGTAAATCTTCTTTGGAGAAGTAACAAAAATAATAATAATTAAAAATTCCCCAATATAAATTGTTATATAATTCTAAGTAATAATAATGTTAATTGTAGACCAGCTTCAATTATTTCAGTGCACTTGTCACACAAATATATATATTTTTAATAGTGTCCTTGAGACAATAACAAAATTTTGAATTCATACTCAAAATAACAAAATTATAATGACACAATGAAAGAACCAGTCTGACCGTCTGGGATTTCAGACAGTTCAATAAATTTTTAATATCTGCTAAAATGAAATTTAAATCTGTTTATTGTTGATACACGTTTTGGCACCACTTTCTCTGTTGTATAGATTAATGCAGAATTTAAAGGAATTTTGCAAAGATGAATGCCACTCAATATCAAGAAGACAAAGCAATTAAATTTTTTTGGGGAAATACAATTAGAGATTGATGAAAAATAATTTAAATTTATACAACAGAGAGAAAGAGAGACTTGAAAATATATTTTAATATTGCACGTATTTAATACTGGTCTACTGGTAAAGATATTGATTGTATTATATTCTTCAAATATGCACCGTTTGTTTCCATTTTAAAGGAAACTTCAAACTGCCTCTCTCATAGAAGTCCCGCTCTCTATTTGCAAAAATCTCTAGTAGTCGATTTTCACCATCCTCCCTAGATACAATTTTTTTTTATCATTGAAGAAATTTTGCTATGCAAGAAAAATATGATAATCGCTTGGTGTCAAGACCGGACTGTATGGCGGATGCATTAAAACTTCCCAACCAAACTCCCGAAGTTTCTGGCGAGTCACTGTAGATGTGTGTGGCCTAGCGTTGTCTTGGTGGAACACAACACCTCTCCTGTTGGCCAAATCCGCCGTTACTGGTCAATTGATATCTCAAACGGTCCAGTTGTTGACGATTAGCGTTTGGCCATATGGAAGCAATTCATAATAAATAATCCCCTTCCAGTCCAACCAAATGCATAGCCAAACCTTCCTGGTCGTTAGTCCTCGTTTGGCAATCGATTGAGGTGATTCACCGATCTTTAACCACGATCGTTTTCTCACAGGGTTATCGTATGTGATCCATTTCTCATTTCCAGTCACCATCCATTTAAGAAATGGGCCTATCTCATTCCGTTTGGCCAAGGCTTCGCAGATGGAAATTCGATCCATCCTATTTTTTTCTGATAATTGGTCTGGCAGCCAAACATCGAACTTCATTTTGAATCCAGGTTTGTGTAAATGGTTGAAAACAGTTTTATGGTCGATTTTTTGATCCTTGGCGATGTTATGACTGCTAACATGTCGGTCAACTTTGATAATTTCTCCGATTTCCGACATTTTCGACGACCGGCCTAATGGATTTATTTTTCCCCAACCTAATATGTTCAATTTGTGTCTTCAGAGGATAAATACCTCTTCACATAAATACCTTTTCAGTTCACTGTAAACAACACAACACATGGTCGTACGCCGTATCGTACTGAGAAAATATACCATCTGATATTTTCATTGTCAGAACGATACCAGGCCAGAAATAAACATAGTATGATTTGGATAGGTTTATAAAAATGTTTGTTTTTTTGCAGTGTAATTATGAGAAATGAAATAATTTGAATCTTCTTTATATAATAACTGTATGTAAACAAATCGGCAATCCAGTTTTTGTTTGTTGTCAATGTATGTCATAGCAATATGCCAGGTTGAATAAAAGCAAAATATCATAGGTGATGCGCTTTTTCTAACACCTCAAAATTTCCAAGGGGAACATTGACCCGAAGATAATCTGGAGAACATTTATGACTAATTTTTCTTCTCATATTTATTAAACATTATCCCATATAATCAAAAGATAAACATCAAAAAACTCCACAAGCAACTCATTGTGGTTTCATTTCTATTTTAAGTCAGCGGACGTGAGCAGTAGCAGGTTTTTCATATGTATTTTAAGCCAAGTCGATATTTCAGCTTAATGGCAGTTCACAACAAGTGTAGCGTTTAAACCCGTTCCCGCAAAGCAGACAGACAGACACATTAAAATGTGTTATATGGCAACATGTCGATAAACCGTCTAAGAAAACAAACGCGAGCAAGTCAACAATTTTAAGACACAGAGATTGGTACTCACAACATTTGTTTTGAAGGAAGCAACGAAGGAATGTTGGTTGCAACGTTAATAAACTTGGAATCGCTTAGCGAAGCGCGAGACAGGCCAGGTGTTAACTGAGTGCATTTTGCATCTCATTAGAACGAATCGATGTTACGAGTATTGCGCACCGATGCAATGACAACGGGGACTATTTAAGCCCAACGATCGTGAACTGAGAGCATTAGTTGTGGTTCAAAATTCTCCAAAGAAAGTTGCAAAACAACAGCAGCAACAGCAGCAGTAACATTTTATATCAGCTTTTGGTTAAAAAAAAATCGCAAATTTCAACGTCAGTTCCAGCGACAAGGATATTCCATTGTCATCATTAACGGATTACTGCTGTCACATATTTCGGATTACTTTCGGATTATCAACCAATCGACCACAACTGTCTGTCGATTTTTATTTTACATATGTTAAACTTCAAAACGATTGGTGTCAATGTTTAGACCCCTAGCAAGGAAGTCACTTAAACTACGGTGAGTTGTGGTGTGACCAAACTTTGAGCGATTATACGAATGCGCTATTAATCGGAAACATGGAAAAATTGTGTCAAATTGGCTCTTATTAATCTTTGAAATTCCAATCACATAATAATTAGAAACAAACCGATTTACAATGTGAAATCATTTATCTAATTTGATTATATTTTTTTTCTAATATTTCCTCGCAGTTTAACTAAGGATCTCGCAAACCATCCCGGCTCTCGAACTGGCAATTCGGCTAATGGTCTAGAGCTTAAAGTACTAACCCATATTAAATACGTTCCATGAAATAGGCTGCAATCCGACGTTAAACCAATTGGACTGGACAACTCACTACCAACGGCTCAACACTTTGTTTTTTTGAAAAGAAAAATACTTGCACCCAAAAAAGAAAACGAAAACTCCTGTTTTTTACAAAAAAAGTTACCACTACAACAAAACAGCAAAATGGTTTACACTAATCGCACTGAGAAATGCATCTCCTCCCAAGACAATCCCGGAGTAAAGGCTTCAGCAAATGCCAACTCCAAATACCAAAGTTCGTGTGGGTCAAATTATAGCAGCGGCAGTGCCAGTAGCAACAAGCCCACCAACAATGCTTGGTCGAAGAACGCCTCGGAAGCGGATAAATGGAAGTACAACAATATGGTGCGTGACAACCGTGATAAATTCAACAGCATGCATTTTTGTTAATTAATTTTTAAAAGATCCTCATTGTCATTCTAAAATTTTATTTACCTAGCCATAATCATTTTGCATTTAGATAGAAGCAGCCTAGTGTAGATCCTTAGTAACGTAGTATTTTTTTTATTTTTTTATTGTTTTGTAAAAGAGCAATCATTCTAGAATGTTTATAGCTTTTATGTTTATTAATGTTTTATTTGTTGTTATCTTTGAAAATTGTGACCAATAAAGCTCTAATTTTAAAATAATAATAATAATGTTTTTTGTTGGGCAAAATTTAATGAAAAGGATATACGTAGATTTGGAGTTTCCGCATGGAATTATTCTACAGCGAATGATTTTTAATATGGGGCATTTAAGAAATAAGTGGTCCTATGACGACAATGTTTTCCAAAGATATTAGTTTCGGGTAAAATAAATCCATTTTTTATATGAACTATAGGACTATATTCGTGCACAGTTTTGTTGTATGATTTGTTGCCATTTTAAAGGTAACTTCATAATGCCTCTTTCATAGAAGTCCTGCTTTCAATTTGCAAAAACTCCGGCGATGCTAACATGCTGGCCAACTTCGATCATTTCTCCGATTTTATCGACATTTTCGACGACCGACCTACCTGTGCGAGGTAGGTCCTGAACGGAATCTACGAAACCAAAATTGCACATTATTGTCTGTTACAGTATCGGAACCATAAACACCATTCACAATTTTAGCCGCTTGGCTTGCATTTTCGCCTTTGTCAAAGAAATATGTACCGAATTTTCTCTTTGTTCACTTCCATTTTTAACACCCTGTAACTCACTGAATGCACCGAACCAAAATAGCAAAATAATTTTTTTAACTATGAAATGTCATCCTTCCAACGACATAAATCTGAAATTGTTTGATCGATACTTTACGAGAAATCTATCAGTACAGCCATCTGTAAATAGTTGTGTAGGGTATAACAAGTAAAGAAGTGTCAGTTGGTGTTGCCGACAGATATATATCATCAGCCTATGGTTTGCGGATGTGTTCGGAGTCACACACATGTTTTATTATTCGTTTTATATGAGGTATATGTTTTATCAAAGACATTTCGGATTTAATGTTGATCAAATCGGTCATTCAGTTAGCTTCAAGTAAAATTTACAAGTTTATAAAATATTGCCCCTTTTTGGAAGAGGTACCAAAAGAGAGGGCTGACGTGTCCCACCTTCGCACTTGATATAGGCTTGGAAATGATAATAGCTTGTGCAAAGTTTGGTTCAAATCAGACATTCCATTCGCCTGATATTGGATTTAAAAATATTGAAAATGTTGATCTTTTGTGGAGAAGGTACCAGAAGGAGTGGACCAATGGGTCCCATCTTTGGACTTGATCTAGGCTTGTTAAACATAAAGGATGTGAAAGGATTGATAAACATAATAGGTTGTTTGGTTAACATCGGATAGTCCGTTCGTATGATATTATATAATTAATCTTTTGTACAAAGTTGACCATTTTGTGGTAGAGGTACCAGACGGAGTGGGCCTATATTCCTTATCTTCGAATTTGAACTGAGTTTGGTATAAATATTACGATGTGCAAAGATGGTTGGGTGAAATCGGTTACTCCCTTCGAGAGTTATCGGACGGACGGATATTTGTAAATCGACTCTAAATTGTCTGAAACAATATTTCGATCAAATTGTATATACTCTCATTAGCTATAAGGCTGAAGTTTAATTAGAATTAATTGACGTCTTTCACATTCCCCCACTTCTTACGAAAATCCTATTAAGTTATTATGTTTTGTAGTGATTTGCATGGCCTCGTTAGATATCGGTTCAGATTTAGATTTATCTTCCATATCACAATTTTGCCCGAAAAAGTCGCCAATTTGTTGTGTTATATTTTAGACGAAATTAAATATAAATTATAAAAATTAAACATATGATCCACACATTATTTAAATTTATTTTGAGAGATGCCGAAATTATCTCATATTTCCGGTTCCGTTTGTTCTTTCTTTGTGGTTTCATAAATTGGATTTATAATGATTGAATTTATAATATTTATAGTAAGATATTTGAGTCATGTTAGGAAATGCATTTTGAGTTGATTCATAAAATTATAATGAACTAATGAATAGCTTCCTAATAATTCCTCAGTGATATCATGATCAGAATGCTTTAGTTTTATTTTTTGTAATTATTTTTATTTGAATAATTATAAACATTTTGAAAACTGTTTCATATCATTAAAACTGAACATTAACCTCAAAAATTTTATTCCCAAATGTTGAACTCTCAAAAGGTTACTTCTTTTTTTTGTATAAATATCATTAATTCTATTTGTGTTAACATTAATGATGGCAATAAAAAGCATTTGTGCACAACGTTAGCGTTTCAAAATTAATTGTTTGCCACAATTAAGGACAATTTTGTCACCCATGTTCGCACTTGAACACTTGTCACCATTGAGCAGAACTCCGAATGATATCGCCCTGCAAAAGCCCTGTATGACAAGCAGACAATTCTCTGACATTTAAGGTTTTTTAAAATAATTCGATACGCTCTCTGTTGGCACTTCCATAGAGTCTATCACCGTATCACTGTTACCCATCATTAGCATTGAAGTAGAACGTGCGGTGAAAACCATTATACGAGGAGTGTGCAAAGTTCTGTGAAGTTTTATCCTAAAAATATTTTCCAAAAAAATAAACATTGTCCGAATTTTGCATCAATCTTATTTTCTTCCAATTGTGACACTGAGCCACGTGACCTGACACATTACACGAACAGTGCCAACATACTATTTGAAAGGCGTGTGTCCTTATCGATGTGGTTATTTCAATTGTTACTATTTTCCGTTGTGAAATTAGACAATGGTGACAACAGAAGGACAGAACAAGTGATTTTTAAACTTTCTACGACGGCTTTGGATTCCCATCGATGGATTTTTGAAAAGTGAAAAGTCGTGTGCTTGTGTGCAAAAAATAATCCTTAAAATTGATATCTGTCCATTTGGAAGGAAACAAAAGTTTGTCGAGTCACGTGGCTTTTAGTGGTTTAACACGCATTCCCAACGCCCATGCCCAACCGCTTTGTTTGTCTGTCTGCCTGCCTGTCTCTCCGTGTGCAGAATTTATTCGTAATAGCTTCTTTTGTACAACTGTCGTCGACATTTTAATGTTTTTCAATTTATCAGTTTTCGCAACATATGAATGTTTGTATGTCTGGTCTGTATGTATGTAAAATGTTTATGACTTCATTTTACATTTTGCCATGTTTGACTTTTAAATCAATGCAATCATTGATTTTACGGATTAATGGATGAACGCCAAAGATAAGAATGTGGAAATGAACCCTTTCTATTTTTAGAGTTTTTTATGTGAGAAAGCTGACAAAGAGTTTGTGCAAATAGTAAGAATCAAAGGCGTTTTACGTTTTTTGGTACAATTTCTAAAAAAATTCTCACGTTTAAAGTCATAAAAGGATTATCATAAATGTTAACAGTTCGAGTTCTATTGTCGATAGATTATAAGGTTGGCTTTAAGAGAGTAAGGCTTAATTTAGGATTAAAAGGTTTATAAGCGGAGATATTAGAAAAAGGGCAACAAGGAATTTTATATACTATTCAGAAATAAAAGCGTGTTATTCTAAGAACGTATATTCATTAAAGTACATTTTTGAATGATAATGAATAAAAGGGTGTATATTAAAAAACATAGTCTTATATACGTGTATTTCTTAATATTTTATCGAGGACTATGGCTACACGCATCAATTTTATACTTTATATGCGTGTTATTAATGTTGGTTTTAGACCCCATGTTTCTTTGGACCAAATCCGTTTCAGAAAATTTGGAGTCGTCTGGCTGGCTGGTGCACTTATGGTACCTCGAAGATGGCGAATATCGGTCCACTCCTTCTGGTACCTTCCCTACAGAGGGTCAACATTTTCAATATTTATAAATCCAATATCAGGGTATGTTCGATTTGAACCAAACTTTGCACAACCTATTACCTTTACCAAGTCTAGATCAAGTTTGAAGATGGGACCCATTGGTCTGCTCCTTCTGGTACCTCCTCCACAAAATGGTCAACATTGTGCTAAAAATTAATTTTATAATATCATGCAAACGGACTATCCGATTTTAACGAAACTTTGTAAAACCTATTATCTTTACCAAGCCTAGATCAGTCCGAAGATGGAACCATTGGTCCACTCCTGTTGGTAACTCTCCCACAAATGGAAACATTTTCAGTGCACAAGTTATTATCTTTATTAAGCCTAGATCAAGTCCGAAGGTAGAACCCGTCTGTCCTCTCATCTGGTACATCTTATAAAAAGGGTCAATATTATATCTTTGATCAACATAAAATCCGAAACATTCTTAATTAATTATATACCTTATATAAAAAGAGTAATAAAACCTGTGTATAACTCCGAAGATCTCCTCCGCAAACCATTGGGTGACGGTATATATCTGTCGGCCACACCGACTGACACTTTTTTGCTTGTTTTTAAGAACAGTTAATGATGGATTATTAAAGCAATAACCTTAGACTTTATATGACGGACAATCATAACACCAATATTTTTTGAAGGA